AAGTCAAATCTTTGAAGGTCACTGTCCTGCAACTTGATGTGTCCCCGACCTGAATCAAAAGTCTGAAGGGAACTAACAGGTGTGTGGAAGCAGGGACACCTTTACAACAAATATACTGAGACGAGGCCCCCATACATCTTTTTATCCTACACACATACAGCCGTATTTGGTGGAAAACTAATACCTAAACAGACCCCTCCCCTAATGAAGCATGGTATCAGAGCATGATACTGTGGGATTAAAAACCAAATTTCCTGTTTACAGCAACAAGGCATGTAGGAGATGCAGCAAACAAGTAAACAAACTGGTGCGATTAGACTAAAACATAACTATTTATTTTAAATAAAATGTTACATGAACATCTTTATGTGATACATGGTGGTGGCAGCATAATGCTGTGGGGTTACTTTTTTCACCAGGGAAAATGAAGCTTCTCTGAGTTGATTCAGGACAAACCCAGGAAAAAAAAAACTGTTCAAGATTGTGGAAGAACTTCGCCCTTCAGCAGGAAAATCAGCCTGTACATCCAACCAGAGATGCTATGAATGGTTTAGATCAAAGCAGATTTGTGTGTTAAAATGACCTAGTCAAAGTCCTGATCTGTAACTAACTGAAAATCCGTGGCAAGCTTTAAGAACCTGATGTTAAATCCAATTGATTTCAGTTCATTTATATAGATCCAGTTTACCACACATGTCATCTCAAGGCACTTTACAATTTAACCAGATCATTCTGTCAGATTGGTTCAGAGTTTTTGATCTAAGGAAAACCAGCTGATTGCATCGACTCATTGACTCTTCAGCAATCCCTCACACTAAGCATTCTTGTAGCGACAGTGGAGAGGAAAAACTCCCTTTGAACAGGAAGAAACCTCCAGCAGAACCAGGCTCAGTGTGAGCGGCCATCTGCTTTCTAAATAAGTCATTTGTTCTTGAATTGCTAATAGAATTAGATCATATAGATTTAAAATAAGAAAAACAATTGCTTATCATGTAATTTCTGTTTCAAGAGTAAAAAAAATCTGATTCTGTTTGCAAATCATCTTATTTACCTGCTCAAATTAAGGGTTAAATG